TACTGTAGGCCTATAGCTGATGATACACAGAGCAACTTCTAGAGCAATGGTGCAGGGCAACGTTGCCATCAATGGTAATGGGTAAAGATTACTACCGTTATCCCCTTCCCCCACCACTCCGCCACACCCGCCCCGCACCGCCGCTATCTGTTCAAAACATAGTCGGACTTGCCACTAGCAAGATTGCCCAGCAACATTGCTCAAAAAGTTGCCCCGTGTATCATCAGCTTTAGTGAATTCAGAGCCAATGAGCAACGGACTTTCAAGATGATAATAAGTTTTAAAAAACTGTTAACGTGCGATAAAATAATTGCCGTCATTAATTAATTAGTTAATGTGTTAACGGGCCCAGCCCTAATTTCTTTCAAATTGTGCCGTTTCCATCAGCCTTTTCTAATGCGATACTTCAAAATGTGCATAAAAAAACTTCGTATCGTACAACACCGTCTGTTTTTAGACCCTTGACTCGGATCAGGAAGAGAGTACCAGATAAAAAAAAACAATTAAAAACTACAAAAATGACTTTTAAGCAAGTAATAACAAAACTTAACTGAAGACTTCATACATGGAAGAAATGCAGCAGTTGCTTCATCTTTAACACAATGAAAGTCCACTTTGAGAAATACTGAAGACCCATGAGTTTGCAGTCACCAGAAACAGCAGTTTATCATATTCAATCCTGCGCAATCATTTAATCTATCAGTGCCACTATGTGCAGGTAAATAAAATATGGTCTATTCGCCAGGCAACACATTTTCTTCGCCAAGGCGCTCTGCTACCTCTACCCAGGGCTCGACCTCAACGCTGTCTTAGGTTGACCATTAGGCATATTTTATATAAAACTAGCTTTGTAAAACGTTGTATCCTTGCTGTGATGTTATCTGTGCTAGTCGGTGGACAGTGATGCTACAGGGGAAAACCGTTGAATGTCTTGACTGACAAAGTGAAGTTGATTCAGGGCTTCAAACTGAAAATTTTAAACCGATTTTAGGGAGCAGCCCTTTGGAGTGGAATCGCAAAGATTTTATGAGGATGTTGATCTGGTTCACCAACAATTCATATGCTTCTCATTTGTTGAAATGAAAACAGAAAGACGAAGATCTGGACACAGATCCTCCGGGTGCACAACCGATAGTAGTTTAAATGTTGAAAACGTTACAGGAACAGAACCTGCTGCTTCTCTCTCTCCGAAGAGGAGGCCTCAGAGTGGTCCGTCCCTACACAGAGTTGATTTGCTGGTTGTGCAGATGGAAAGCTGTTTCCTATTGTGTGCTATCTGTGGCTCATGTTCAACGAATAGTTTATTGATTTCTTTCGCTCTGCCTACAGGGATTCCGGTGTTTCACTGTGTTCTCCTGTGTGTGTGTGTGTGTGTGTGTATGTGCTGTGCTTTAGGATTTCACCACTTTAAAAAGAGCAGGAACACAACCTCACACACTCACTCATACATGGACCCAGACTCGTTCTTACCCATTTTCCCTGGTTGTTTAATCAGTCGATTGCTATTACCTGTGGCTGAACAGTCTTAAACCCATCAAGAGGCTCAGTGAAGTGTTAACAAACCCACAGGACAATCCCCCCCCCACACACACACACACACACACTTCCTTCTCTCTAATGCCTTGGTAATAGCGACAATCAGCCGCTCCGGTCCATTGGTTAGATGGCTAAGCTCGGGTCCTGTGGCTCATTAATGGTGAGCTGAGGTAACACAGACTGAATGGGGAATCTTGGGCCTGATTGGATTTGAATCCCGGCCAGTGGAGGGTTTTTAGAGCATACGTTTGGAGGCTGGAAAATCATTGCAGGGGAGCTACTGAGTCTATTTGTCTTTGCTGTAGTTGTTCCAGGGAATATTCAGTGTAGTGGGGGTCCTGGCATATCTGGTGTCTGGCCTGGTCAGTCTATTCAGATGGCACAAGCAAGTGGAAGTATTTTGAAATAAACCAGACTTTCTAACAGACAACATGAAACTTTAGAATTAAGATCAGGTAACGGGTAACTAATGTTTTGATACATAAACCAGTTTGGCTAACCATTATGGCCCAACAAGTCAACCAATCAACCGTTGTTGACGTTGCTTTTTTCCCTCCCATCAGCAATCAACATGGGCAACATCGCTCATATATGTATATAACTGCACTATATAATGTAATATAACTAAAAACACAAAACAAATTTTTACAAAATAAAATAAAGATAAAACATTATTGGTGGTGTATAGATAGGTGTAAGATATAAGTCTTGCTTATATCAGTCCTGCCAATCACATTTAGTCCATTTGAATAGGTTGATATATCAGTTAGTGTCTACTTTATGTTAATTAAAACCTGATCAAACCAATATTTTATAGCTGGTGATGGAATAAAATTTATACATAAGCAGATAAATGTTATTGCAATATATTGTTATATATAACCTTAGCTGTTTTAAGTTTACAGTAACAGTACTGCAGACTAAATCAGAAACCTAAGCACAAACATTAGTGCCATGTCCATAAATTGAAACTCCTCCCTTGATCTTTATATTATATGCGTTTGTAGTTGATGGTACGACTAGGAGACATTATGGTCAGGTGTGATAAAGGTCAAACAGGGTTGAACCATCTCTGTAAAGTGTATATATATGTATGTATATATATATCACCTTGTCAGGGCGCTTTCAAGGCTATTGGATGACAACTTTTCAAATAATCTTGAAAAAGTCAGCTGTTCGAGTCTTGAAACCGGATGGTTTTCATCCAGCAGCAGCAATTAGCATCGTGTCCTCATCACCGGAGGGGATTTCCTAGTTGTGATGTGCCTCAATGCAGCTGAGAGGTCGGCTGTGGACTGAAGAGGCCATGACTGCGGCCTCTTCAGCAGACTGAGTCTGAAAATGTCATGCTCATTACACAACTAATACCCTTTACAATGCTGTCTTCCTCACATAGACACACAGTAGGACACACACACACACACACACACACACACACACACACACACGGATGAAGAGGAGCATTGTTTCAGAGCTGCTGTCCTCAGCAGTTTCTCAGGGACTTCCTGTTAAGTCTTTGGGTGCGCTTGTTTTGAGTTCTTGTCAGAAGTTCTGGTTGAGAGAGGAGCTTTGTGTTTGGCCAGATAACTTTGCCCTCCAGACATTAGACTTTGAGGCTGAGTGCGTGTGTGTGTGTGTGTGTGTGCGCGCGTGTGTGTACATGAGACCTTGTTCTTTGTTGGAGAGCATCATGTCGCTCATTGACCTCTCGCTGCCCTGTGCTGTGCTAAAATCCCCAGCTGTCTGTGGTCACCGCTTTTTTGTATCTCGCCACAAATTTCCCAAGAATTTCTCTATCCTTTTGTCGTCTTTGCTCTCCAAAAAAGGGAGCTCGAGGGCAGTAAATTAGTGTGAAGATACTGCTCTGTGATTGCATTGTGGTTGTGTGATTTCCTTTTTTCTTTTTCGTTTTTTAAGGATAACTACAAAGACTACTACAAGCATGAAATATGTTGTATTAAAATCACGTTATCTGCAGATAGACCCTGGGTGGAGTTGTATAGCGTGAAGAAATTGCCCAATAATTAAATAATGGTTTAGAGAAATGTTATTTTCATTATTATTATTATTTAAACTACAAAGGATGAAAACATGTGTTTTTCTTTTAATTCATTTTATTTTTCAACACTAGCCTCCTCTGTCAGTTGCAGTGCCTTGTTATTGGACTTTTGCACGTATATTGCACCTACAATATCTTATTAAATGTAACATTTCCACCCAAGGTTGAATATTTCTAGAAGTAGCTGTGTTGAGCACATAACTAAACCTGCCAGTATTTTACATGAAAACAGAAAAGGCCATTTGTGTTTTTGTCTCTTGATCCCTTTAATGGATGTGTGTGGCTGATAACACGAGTATAGTTGCCTGATTTGTAGAATAAATGTATTCATACACACAAGTTGTGTGTCAGTATTTTCTTTGGAGGTGATTTGTTGGCAATTGCACCTCATTCTGGTTAGATTTGGACTCTTGCTTGCTGCTCCCTGTCCACTGAGGTCAAAAGTATGGTATTATTGATACGGCTGGGCGATATGGCTAAAAATGTTATCACAATAAAAACATTTCATATCATTCAATATTGATAATTATCACGATAAATGTCAAATCATTATTTCTTTAAAAGGCAGATATTTGCTCCTGAGTGAATGATGGAGAAATCGGAAGGGTAATTGTGTGGTTAAACTTTTCTTTATGGTCAAAACATGACAAAGACTTGATCCCAAACAATGGATCACTTCACAAATCTGAGGTAGAACATTCAAAACTTTTTAACAAATATAATTAGTAAATCTATTTTTCAGTCCCTTTTCCTCAACAAAATAAATATCTTAATAGAAACATTAAGTACTAATTCGTTCGTGATTCAAATGAATTAAATCAAACATTTATTGACTATGTATTGAACATTTGTTATATTGTTGTTGAGGAAAATTATCATTATTGTTTTATTTCCCAGCCCTAATTATTGAAAAATATTGTTGTCTGCTTAATTTAAAATTGTCACGTCGTCCTGGATAACATTTGTAGGTATTCATGCAGTGCTGCTGAGACAGATTGAGTACAGAGTGCAGTTTCCTTCAGGATCACTGTTGATGATCAAATTCTGATCCATTCTTTACTGAACTGTCCACCTCAGTTTGCTAATGGAAAATTAGAGGGGTTGCCACAGTTGTTATTTCATTGTGTCGGATACATACTGTGTTTAATCAGCATTTAGGCCTTGAATATAAAAGTATCAGACTGGACTAGTTATCAGCAGATTCCCAATCACTGCTGTGGGGGCTGTGATGAAATCAGAATGATGCCACAGCAGATGAACCAACATAGCACCGGGTCAGCTGGTAGTACCATCTCATTCTTGGTGTAACTATATATTTGCATGCTTGTGTTCATGCCCTATTCAGAATCCATTGGTTTTTAATTGATTGATTTGTGTATGACCTGTGTCGCTCTCCTCTCTCCAGCTGTTTCCTGTCTCTGTTACTGGTCGCTGCTGTGGTCTGGAAAGTCAAACAGACGTGCTGGGCCTCACGACGTAGAGAGGTAGGGAAAATCATCGGAGGGGGGGTATAATATGTGTTTTCATGTGTGTCAGCGTGTTGCAATATGTGTATACAGTATAATATATGTGTTGTCAAGCTGTGTGTGTGTGCGCCTCACTCTGCTACACATAAGCCGTTAGATGCAGCTGCCACATCGAAGACTGGCGTAAATATACACAGACGCATCCCCTCACCCACAGATGTGAACGATGGGTTAATGTCACCAGTCCTAAAAGAAAAAACAAAAAATCTCTCTCCGCTTAACGAGCGTCGCTGTGACGATAAACAAGGCCATCCCCTTTAATTAGTGCTCCTCATGAACCAATTAACTCAGACGAAGTGATGCTAAATGAAGTGGAATGGAGTGATATATCACTTAAAGCCTCAACAGATGCCGCATCATTTCATGTTTACTCCTGACCCCTCCCACACGCACACGCACACAAACACACAAAAACACAATTACACCCAGAATCAATTCAGCAGCTCCAGTGTTTGACTTGTTTTGGATATATTCTCTTTTAAGTAATAACCCACGGTCTCACTTCTCACTTTTTGTCACTGGTTTAATGTTTTTACGCATCTGTTTTCAGTGTTTGGGGTTTGAGTCATCAGGGAAGAATCAGTAATTGGGTATGAGCAGCGATGATAATAGTCTGTTTTTATTGGTGTAATCCACACACACACACACACACACACACACAGGGAGCTATTGTGCATAAATACACTTGCTGGTTTCCGGCCCCCCTCCTGCCTCTGCCTTTCTGCCATTATGCAGAAAACGCTGATGATTTCATGTGCATGTGTTTAAATGTTGGTGTCATGTTACTTTTATGGTCATTCAAAAATAAAAAATTTTTGTAATCTGCTTAAGTGGTTTAAACTTTTCTTCACTTTGGGTGCGTTCAGACTGCAGGTCTTAATGCTCAATTCCGATTTTTTTCCCAGATCAGATTTTTTAGTTTGACATTGTTGCTTAATGTGGCCCATATCAAGTGATCCGCATGCACAGAATAACACGTCACACGCAGGAAGCTGTTGTACAGAAGTAAACAGAGCCACAGAGGTTAACTCCTACGTGCTAACCCTTCCAATTTTCACAGGAGACTCCCGTACTTCATTGTCCTCTCACAGGTCACATTTTTCTCGAATTATGACAAATGTTCACAATTTTCTGTCCTTTTCATTACGGTTTCTGCCGCTGTAACGCAACTGCCCCACAACTCACTAACGTTACAGTCTCTCTCTCTCTCCCCAATGCGTCCGCACGGACAAGTAGCATGCACATAACTCAGAAGAGAGCTGACAGTCCGGAGGCTTACATGTGGAAGAAAGGGAATTAATTATGACTTTTCTGGAGCTTTCTTGTTCATAGCGGCTCCGTCTACAGCAAGAACTGTGACAGCAGCTGCTCTAGAGTGACGTCTAAGTCTGACCTGAGTGTTCAGACTCAGGTCGCATTTAAAAAGATCTGATCTGTATTGGATTTGGACCACATAGGAAAGTGTCCCAAATCCTGGATCAGATCAGATTCCATGTGACTTGGTCTGTTCACACTGTTATAAAAAGATCAGATCTGAGTCACATATGAGCAAAAAAATTGGATTTGGGTCACTTTGGCCTGCAGTCTGAACGTAGCCTTAGTGAGAGACGTCACTCTAATGTATTAAAAAAAAAACACAAACTGAAAATTGTGCACAGGAATAGTTATACTACAAATGTAAAGCTCATTGATTTTGGTTTTTTACCAAAAAAACCCACCCAGATGGCAGCTGATGCAGATTGCTTTGGATTGACTTTTATCTTGATTTTTTTTTCTATGTTGCCGTACATCTAAAAGTTTATTTTTGTTGTTAAACTACCAAATGTTAATGCTACGAATTGTAATTCTTAAATTCAGCTATAATATTTTTTATCAATCAAAATTGACAAATAGGTATGTGAGAGTCTTATCTAATCTAACTAGCTCTAATCAATATCTTTCTATTGACACTGGATCAAATGAGTCATTTAGCATCTTTCAGCTTATTATTTTGGTTTTACGGCCCATGATTTTGAAAAAGCTGTAAATGCCCACTTTACATCTTTCACTCAGTCTGAACATTTGTTATTCGGTTTTGTGTTTTTTGTGCACACAGGTGTGTATGTTCCCTGTGATTGATACCTGCACTGTGATGTGTGTTTAGCCACCTGTGACCTGACTAGCAGGGTGTTTGTTTAGCCTTGTTTTCCCAGTGTGAGGAGCAGCGTACTGGCTGCTGGCAGGCCGGCCTACACTCAGCTCCATTATTTATGAGAGTCTCATATCACAGCAGAACCGCAATGCTGCATTTACTGCGCTGTTGGTTTATTTACCCAGACTTCCTGCTATTTCTCCAGTTCTCTGTCTTCCCCTCTGTCGGTCTCTCCCTCTTTCGTCCTGAGGGCTGTTTTTTTTCTCCTTTAGATAACAGAGGATCTAATAAATGGAAACCTCTGCCTTCGAGGGAGAAATCATCACTGTAGGAACTGTGGCGATTAAACTTCACTTTCTTCCCTCCATCATCTGCAGTTAATGTCCTGTTTGAAATGAAATCAGTTACTTTTTTCATCACATAATTAGTTCATCTAGAATGGCACAAAGGAGGCAAATGGAAATCCCTCAAAGGGTGATCTTTCACTTTGCGGCGGCTCAAGCAGAGGGTGCATAAGAAAAAAGACAAACGTTTAATAGATTTTACCGAGTAATGGTACTCAGCCAAACGTAGAAGGGAGACCGTGACATTTCAGAAATGTACTTAGTTCATTTTCTTCACCAGTCAGTTGTTGCTTTACAGGAAACTCTTTTCTGGGTTTGTCCTTTTAGCTACTCAAAAAATGTCATGACTGAATCCAACTGCTGTAAGCAAGTGAGCCACAATGCAAACTATGTTAATGGGCCAAGTGTCAGCGGAGAAGCCCTTTCATTATAACAGGAACACTGCCCGTTGCAGGCACAAAACAGACAGATGTTCCAAATGTCAAATCGGACACTTCTGATGTCAGTGTCAGTCTTATATTGCTGTTTATATTCAACCTTTGCTCCACTACAAACCAGTTTTAGCTTTTGGTTGTGAAACAAGATGATACAGCTGTGTGAAATAGAAAAGAGGGTCGAGGAAGGAAACGAGAGAGTGTTGTGGGCTCATTATACTGCTGCAAAAACACCTTAGGCCCTACATGTGATCAGAGGCGGAAGTACTTGATGCCGGCATAAACCAATATTTTCCCATGGAGGAGATTGACGACTCCAAACCTACTTTGCGTGCTGCACACTTCTTGGATGTTACACCTCGCTACTGAACTCAAAGGTCATACTATATTGATATTAGATATTTGGAATGGGTAAACAAATCATTCATTTTCTTTCAAATGATTTAAATTTGTGTATGTTTGATGATGTTTGCCTTTACAAGAGAACGCAATTGAAACTCGTAGTTTACTCAGACCTCTATTTACCACTGTGCCATTTATGATAGAAGATAAACGGTGAGAAAGAGTCTGTCTTGTAACAGAACTTTGTCATCGTTCCCAGTGAGCTCTGCAGCATCGCGCCTCTTCAGCAGGCCACAGCCTCACTTACGCTGCACCGCTGAGTGAGAAATTAACAGTGCTAATCAATGCTGAATGCTGTGTTTTTATCATCTCCTTGTTTTGGTGTGTTTAGTGCAGGCCTGATTATTATGGAGATAAACTGCAGTTGTCAGGGGCTCTGGGGAGAGATGATCAATACATCCAGATTTTATTTATATAGATATTGTTATTCTAATATAAAGGCGCTACTGATCCGATTCAAATAGGGATTTTATTGAGGCTTTTTTTCCGTTTCTCCAAATAGAGCTGCACATTGTTTTGTATTTTTACCACTTTTATGAAAAGACTTTCCACATTAAACAAACTGCAAAAGGCTGTGATATCAGATCTTTGTGTGGTTGAAAAGTTTGAAACCTTTTTCATATTTTCAAATTCAAAATACAACCTGTATTAAACACTGATTTAGCGTTTTTGAACTAATTCAGAAGTTTCTGCTGCGTTCACGGCTGTGTCTGTAAAATAGGAAGAAAAGGAAAAACCTCACGTTTTTTTTGGGTATTGTTCTGTTTCGCATTGCTAGCCTTGTAATGGACATAATGCCTAAATTAGCAGTTTTTATTACATTTGTAGTAGTTCATTACCAGATACAAAGAATATGTGACTCCTTTTTTTAGCTGGATTGATTGTATTGGTGTTAACTTTGGATTTCATTCAGATGTAACTGCCACTTATGTCTGTTTGTTGCTGGTTTGTTTTTTACGAAGTGGGATATTTCAGAACTAACTTCATATAAGATCTAGATGCCTCGTTATAAGACTGTTTTGTTGTGACATCTGACACTGTGTTGGTGTAAACTGTTCTGTTTGGAAGGTGGGATTATTTGCCCTAACCAACCAGCAGCGAGTGACGTATTTGTGTCATTTATGTCATTTTTAGTTGACTCGCGAACTGCTGTAGCAAAACTGTGGCTGAGTTGTTTTTCCAACACTGGAGCAACAATTAACACACCAGCCCATTTTTCCCCTTATCCTGGGAATCTTGTTCATATTGGATTTTTTAAACGTTGGCATTGAATGTAATCTGCTGTTCGACAGAATCATCCAATAGTTAGATTCTGTGGCAATAGGGTCACATTAAGCACAATTTGTAAGATGTGGGCAATGACTCAAGTTAGATATGGATGTTTTTTCCCACTCATGCATAAATTTATGGTTGGTACAATATGACATGAATATGACAATAGATGTGACTGCAGCTGCTTCAGAGGCGGGGTTAACATAATTTCTTACACAATAGGAAAAAGAAACATCAATGCAATCTCACTGGCTGTTGGTGTGTTTCACAGTTTAGAAGCAAAGTCTCTCAATCCAAAGGTTCTGTAACCTTTAGACTGAGCAGCCAGATACACAGCTCAACTTAATGATATGATCCACCTATTCAAATCATCAG